TATTACGTATCATTTAAATATGGCTGTGCGAACTGTATAAATGAGCTTATGTCAACAGCAACTTTTGATGTAATATCTATTTAACTTGAACTCATATCAATTGCTGTTCTAACCATAGATAATGTGATTCTAGCAACCATAACAGTTTTCTCCGTGTAAGATCATTTCTTTTTATATGTTTTCCGTTTTGTTAATAATTAGTTTTATAAATACTTTTTTAGTTTTTTAGCGAAAAGAAATAAACATTCAACAGATATATAAGTTTGTCGTGTAAATTATTTGATACAAATACGACTTTTTGTTTGTTGTAATATTTGTTTGTGTAAAATCACACGTGTCGTCATGATCAGAATAATAGAAATAGAAATTTTAAGAAAGTAAACGCTTTAATTGATGACGAAATAAAATGTTTAAATTGATAAAGTTCTTGAAAGTAAATGTAAAAAAAAAAAAAAAAGCGAAACTTGTATCTGTTAGAAAAGATCTCACGGTGTTTATGTTAATTTCCGCGGGAAATACGTTTGTGGCAGACGCTAAACAGGCGGGTTTTACAGCTCTTCGGCTTTTTCTTGCCGTCCTGCATATTTGCGCTGCACATCTTGCGCGGCTGTTGCATGTGTGCGGGGCACAGCGTCATTACTTGTTCTCTTTAAGTTTTAGCACATTTGCATCGGGAATGAATTTAAGGCCTTGCATGAATCCCTTCGCGAATATATATTTACTGTGTGTGTTTGTCGCGGAGAGAAATTCAATATTCTCAAATATAAGAAATCACACAAAACGAATTCGCCAAACAAAATATATTTAAAAAAAATCTGTTCTCACCTAATTCTTTCTATATTTTTTTATTTTTGTAACGTTATATAGTTGTTGAACATGATCATCAGTTAAGAGTTTGATCGAAACGTCCTAAATACACTGTGCAAAAAAATTATTTGATGATCCATCGGCAACTGTGGACCATTTTGGCTTTTCGAGTCATTTTCTTTCAAATCTGTGATTTGTGTGTAAAAATATCAATTTTTATATATTTAATTTTTGCGCGCAAAAATTAATAGAAAAGAATAAAAATCTCTCAAATGATAAAAGTTCTGATTTGCGATTATTTGTGGTATTACTGTTCACGTGTTTGAAAACGTGCGATCATGCAATAATAATAATGTGTGCTCTGAGTCAAGTTTGAGTGACATTGTTTATATTTCTGAGAAACATCGTTCTGACTCTGGATTTTTCTTTTTTTTTTTTTGTTTTATTCTTTTAAAGCTCGTCATGTCGAGCGAACATCGCTTATCAACTGTTACAAGTGTTCAATATCGTATCGTTTAGCTAATTTAAGCGTCAGCAGAATAGGATTTTTATTATGATTATTATTAGAATTGGTTATATATATTATTACAAAACAGGTAATTGTTCTCTGCTTCGTTAAATAATTCTATTATAAATTCAATTAACAATATAATACTAATGACAACACGTAACAAACGCGCGCGTGAAACAGATTAGAATTTAGCTGCGATGTGTTGTGTTGTAACCGCGAAATTTTTTTTTCAGCCTGCCTCGGACGCAAATGCTTATCACGCGTGTATATGTCTACGCATAAATGCGTATTATATACGCGTAACTTGCGTTCAAAACGGCCGTCGTTATCGGTTAACCTCTTGCGTAAGACGTAAGAAACGTGTCCGATCATAAACACTATAAGTGGAGATTGCTTAATTACGCAGTGTCGCAAAGCTTTTTTATTGGTGTTAAGAGCCACTTTATATGAAAGTATAAAAGTTCATGCATCGTAAAGATGCGCGAGCCGTAATAAAACTACAGTAAATAAATTCTGTTGCATTTTGTAAAAAAAACTCAAGTGAACTAAATATGAGAGAACTACATGAAACTGTGTGTGTATCTTCAATTTAAATAATTGCAAAGTATGAGAAGAAAAGTCTTATGTATCGCGGCAGAAAACTTGTACAAAATATTTCTCTTTGCTGTGTGTGTGTGCGTGATAATATATTCATAAGACGATGCAACAACACGGGGAAGCGTCGAGAGACGAGCATTTATGTAGCTGCGGACGGGATATGCTGTTGCTTTCCATTTATGGTCATGCCTGATACAAAATTGACACGGGATGCCTTTTAAAGACCGGCTATATCGATTGGATACTTGCGTCTGGGCGCAAATGAGAAAGGGCAAACTTGCTATTACATAGTCGAATTGAACGTTGTGTATGTAGGATACATACAACAGATGCCAATGTTTTTCTCGTGGAGAAAAGAAAAACGGAGTGTGTGTTACGACACACATTTTCGTGAAAACACACTGCACGAACTGTCAGAATTTATTTTAAGATCATATTCTTTTATAAAGAAGTTTCTTATATAGTTGATTAATTGTATTTTCAATTTCTGAAAATACATAAATGTTTTTTACGCTAGATACAATCTTAATTACGTGATTTAAATTGTGTTGAAATTTTATGAGAATTTTCTGCAGTTGAATTGTGTTAGAAGATACACATTCTCTTCCACCGAAATTCTTTTTGCATCAATAAGATGTGTCTTTTACATCAGATTAAATTATTCCCCGAATAGACGGATGGATAATTAAATTATCATGGAAATCATCTCGATTATTCAAATGCCAAAACTTTCGAGCAGATATGTCGAGAGATAAGGTAATCAGACGGAGACTAAAAGAAGGACGAAAAGGAGGAAATAGGATAGGATCATAGAGAGAGAGAGAGAGAGAGATGTTACACGCGCGTGCTAGAATATATCGCAGAAATTTTGAGGAGGAAGGACAGGCAGTGTGAGTATCTGGATATGAGATCACATGGACATCCGGTTTCGTGCGAGTGAGCTGAGTTTACAGAGCGACTTGTCAATGGGAAGTGCGTTATCAACGCGCACGGAGCGCGGGCTGTCTCATCCTCCCCTTTTTCAGTCCTCAACTTCCAGCTTTTGTCTCGCTTGATCTCCGACAGTTTCGTCGGGTCGACCTAATTTTTTAACGAGTGTGAAAGTCTCGGAAAGTAGGTCGTAAAGATTACTTTAGAGCTTGCTTCAAGAAGGGAAAGAGAGAGAGAGAGAGAGAGAGAGAGAGAGAGAGAAAGAAACAAACGTTGTATTGTAATTTTCTTTGTATTATTAAAAACTGGATATGCACGCACGAGTTTTATTCCATTTTCAATTGGAAAGTGGATTTTAAAGTGGATTAAATTACCACAAAAGTAAGGCACCGATAATTTTGCAAATTCAAGTTTTGCGCAAAAATCATTTCATAAA